GATATTTTCAAAATATCCTGATATACATAAACAGATTTATATAATAATATTTCAAAAGATATGACTATGTAATAAATATTTTAAATAGTTTATGCGGTGCTAATTTTAAACCTGGGAGTGCTAAGCACCCCCAAGCACCCCCCTATGTGCGCCTATGACCTATTGTAGTCTAGGAATTTTTTTGCCTGGGGGCGGAGATTTTTTTCTGAGGTCATTCTTCGAGGGATGATTTTTTGCAAGGATTTTTATTCTGATTACCRATTAGTATATACTATATAGGTAGGCGATTTGTTTAAATAAATCACATCCATATAGTCATTATAAGAATATTATAATAACCAATAAAAATTAGTATGTACAACATAAAGTTAGATAGAACCAAAGATAAGACCTTTATGATAGTATGTCATTACAACTAGTATCATTATTATTTATTAGTTTATTTTTATTACTACATTTCTACCGCATAAAAAAACAGAACAATAAAAAATCATGATTATAATGAATGATTACAAAATTATAAACGTAAAAAGCAAGAGTTAAATAACATTCATTTTTCAAAATTATAAAACAATATAGGCATGCGTTTTCAATCGCAAACATATTAGTACAACTTTTAACATAGGAATAAATGTCTGTATATGGGTATGATGAGTGTCCAACCTAGGTTCTTAAAAGCTTTTATAATGGATATGATTTAAACGGGTAAAGGTATTACAACAGTGAGCGACAATAATGATTGATGAATTACATTAGAAACATTAGAACAAAATATATACAATAAAAATCGATGTAGATAAACAAGAAAATACCTTACCAACGGATGAAAAACGACTTTAGTATTTATCGTTCATCGTCCTCAAAACTATTTACGAAGTCTCACACAATCACAATAATACACTGTAGTTCAATAAGTTTAGTGTCAGTGGTTGCAAAGTAGGTAAATGCAACACTTCGTCACTCTGTAGTGTCTACCACACAATCACACACGATCACAATGACAAAGTTAAATTGGATTCAACTATTTTTAATTGAATTTCAGCGAATTGCAAGATGTAGGGCTGGCGGAGAGCAAAACGAAGACTGTCAAAGGAAAATCGAGGGAGAAAAAAAAGATTAAAAAGAAATTAATAACTACGCAGGTCGAACGATTTTTAGAATTTTTTGCTATAATAGTATAATGTATTAGTATACAGACATTACAGACACAGAACATGTGTTATTATTTTTAATATTTTTCAAGATAAATTCAATTTATCATGCTATTTTTGTTAGTAGTAGTAGTAGTAGTAGTAGTAGGTGGTCTTACTGGATTACTGCTATAATTGAATCACTCAACGGATAAAACAGTTGTCACTTGTCAGCGGGAATGCAGGGAAACTTGCTGTGGAATTACGTTTCCCGATATTATAATGACAATATAAAATATTACAATTTGTTGTACATTATTATTATTGTTATCACTATAAGACAGTAATATAAATATGGGCACGTACTGAATCCAGGAACTGCACTACCGCACTACTGCCTGCAACACGGCATTCCAAATACTGTATGTCCTAAGCTTAACTCGTAAGTATAAGTCGTAGCGCCCACTGCACAAGTGCATCGAATAGCGAATAATGAAAACTGATATCACAATTATTCTGAATTCACAAATAATTAGGACCGCGTTCGTCACTATTCACTCTTGCACGAACGTGTTACCAAAAAGTAAAATAATATTTCATACTCTACAAACCTACAATTAAGTTTCTCTTAAAGTGTATAAACTGAATATTGTGATGCATAGGTATCTTAAAATATTATGGTGTAAATGTGTAATGCAGTTATTAATGTTATTATAGAAACATGGACGTATTGCATTCGTGTAGGCAGGGCATCTCATACTCTCATACTTAGACAGTCATCAAAATGAAAGTGTAAACGAGTTACGTTTCATCAAATACTATAACAATACTACTAACCTAACCTAACCTAATCTATAGTATTTGGTTTCATGTATCATAATCATATTATATACTTATCTATGATTCTGTTTCCGTTCACAGACGAATATTATCTATAGATTATTAATTGAATACTGTTGCATTCGTTAGATCATGATATAAACCCTTAGGTGAAGTCGTAAAAATTTATTTTGGTATGGATCTGCGCAATATACGTCATGTGTTGATGTGTCTACCCATATTATCAGCTTAAAACATATATAATATATATATATACATAATACGATCAAATACGATAATAGTTCAGTCCTTCAGTCTCTGATAGAATTAATTATTAATTGCAAGGTGGATTAATAAATTAAATCCACCTTGATTAATTGGTATTATATTATTAAAATTATATATTTATATTATTAAAAAAAATCATGATTATCGATGTTGTTTAAAATTATTTCAACTTAAGATTATACTCAGTAATCAGTATATCTAACTGAAAGACGACCATAAAAAATATTACGAATATTCGAAAGAGATGTTATTTATATTATCATGGTCCCGGGTTATCGAGACGTGGGCGCCGTTACTATAGTTTTATATATTATATTATATTAAGGAGTTGCCTACACTTAAAGTATCAGAAAATTGTACAAAAAAAACAACAAATATTTACTCAAGTTTCATATTTAGATTTTTCAAGATATTAATAATATACTATCTGAATATTAGAGTTCAGTGCATATACTTACTATAAAAACATAAAATTAGGTATAAATTGTATAATAATCGTACGTAATTAGTAATTACCCTCGTTCTGAGTCCCGACATAAATTATTTCTTAAAAACAAATACAGACATGCAGTATACAGCTAATGATAATTATATGCGATATAAATATAAACTTTTTAAAAAAAGCGGATAAGTCGTGGATGTCGCTCTGCTGTACAGGTTACTGTAATGAGTGTAATGGATGGGATTAAATTTGAATGCAATGATAGCGATAGGTATCATTGTATACGAAAAACGATTCTGAACGGAGATGATTTGTCAGTCTAGGATATATTATATTTAAATATTGTCATATATTCTATTTTCAAACAAATATTTTATTTTTCATAAGGCCGATGGTTAATCTATGAGTGTAGTTATCATGTAGTTATCATAATTCATAATACCTTATATTATCATAGATATATATATACCTGGTTTGAGGATAAATCGTTATCATTACGAAATTTCATAAAAATTTAAAACTCAAACGCTCAAAACAATTTTCCTATAATGAAGATTCAAATTTTCTCTATAGCTATTTGAAGCAAAACTTATGGAAAACTTAGTGTTGAATTTTATAACTTTAGATAAAAATGCAAACAATATTTTGAACTTCAAAATAATTCGCAAATATTCATGGTTTTGACGAATTTTTGTCAATATTTGAAATTCAAATGCTTATAAAAATTTAATTTGCATTTCCAGTGGACATTTTTTTTGTGATACAGATTGAAAAACTTGTAAGGAATCTTATATTAAATTTTTAAATCTTAGTTTAAAAAAGACAATTTTTTATTAATTTCTCGCTTAAAATAATTTGTGGATTTTTGTGATTTTTACGTATGTTGTCAAAATTCAAATTTTGAATGCTTATAAAATAAAATTGTAGCTATGAATTTCTTTTATTTTTCAACTGCAATCGTAATAATATGTTAAGAGCCTTGTATTAAATTTTCAAGATTTTCTACCTAAAAAAAATATTTTTATCGATTTTAATTTTAAAAAAAACTATTAATGATTGAAAATTGCATATACCTATTCATAGTTCAACTTAAGTCAGATTTTTTTAAAAATTCCATGGTGGATAGAACATAGGTACTTATATCAACATTTGGTGAAAATTTCATATATCAATGGCCATTCGTTTTAAAGTTACATAAAAAATCAAAATCGATTTTGTCGAAAACTGATTGTACGTAAAATTTCCCGTTTTTCCGTTAATTTTTAGTTAGTTTATCCCGATTATTTAGAAAAATATTAAGAATTTTTTTTTTGATTCCCCAAAGTATCAACTAGATTCACTTTCTGATTTAAAAAGGTACTGAAGTCTGATTTAAAAAGGTACTGAAGTTAAAAGTCAAAGCATTTTTACTGCCCCAAAACGTAATGACAAACAAAAAAAAAAAATATTCATGGTTTTGACGAATTTTTGTCATTATTTGAACTTCAAATGCTAATAAAAAAAAATTGTGCCTATTTATTCTTATGATTTTTATTCACTATAAGAATAACTTATGAGGAACTTTGTATTAAATTTTCAAGTATTTTGATTTGGCCAAAAAAATTTTATCGACACTTCAAAAACATGTTTTCAGAAAAATTGAAAATTTCAGTTATCTATAAATATCTCAAAAAAAGTCAAAATATTTTGAAAATTAAATCATGTAAATAAAATGCCAATATAAATAACTGATAAAATTTTCAAGTATCTACGACTTATACTTTTTGAATAATAACAAATATTTAAAATAATTAAAATCGTTTCAGGATAAATCGTTATCGTTACGCTATTTCGTAAAAATTTAAAATTCAAACGCACTTAACATTTTTCCTATAATGAAGCTTCGAGTTTTAACTATAGCTAGGTATTTGAAGGAAAACTTAATTCTTAGTTATGAATTGAACACAAAAAATGTTTACTGCTGGTAACAATGGTATAGATAAGGCACTAGGCACTACAGATTATATAATTTAAATAATCTGTATAATAATAATAATGTATAATAATAATTTATATAATCTGTGGCACTACTACTACTTCTATAGTGACCTAGTATAGATGGGGCACAATATACCGAAACTATTATATAATTATTACAGAATAGATGAAATTGAATAGAAGCCATTATCTTACTGGTTACTAACTTCCAGCTTGATCACTTAATATCAATTCTGTGGTCATATCATTATCAAATCCGATTGCACCGTATAGTCCGTATCAGTAGTATTTAGTAATTTACTTCTGTCTTCTATTATTAACCATACCTTAAAGACTCGACTCGTGGTATAATTAATAACTATGCATAACCAAATACTATAATAATTTAGGTTGAAGTATGGCTTTTGGGTTGAATTGTCGCCATTGTCGGTACTTCGGTAGATTGTTGATAGGTAAATCGCGAAGTATAGATATGTCGAAAATCTTGAGATGTACTGTTTTTGATCTTTCTTCATCGTTGCGTATCACTTTTGGCGGACCGATGGTGTTTCAATCTCGCACTGCACACAATGTCCGAGCACCACGAATCAAATATCCTTTATGGTATTTGCAGCGAGAGCGGGCAAAAGACGACCAACAATTAACCGGAGATAACCGTGCGTTCATTAAAGAAGCCGTGCATGACAAATTCGGTATGCCAGCGGTGATTCATGGAATATCCACTTATGATGTGCGATCTCCATTGAATGAAGACTCAGTTGAGTGCATGAACGTCGAATGGAACCCAAAGCTTCAACGCACAGGGCTCATAGCCCGCAAGCTTGGAAACTATCCAATGTGGTTAAACAACGGCAAAAGCGTGCTTACTACCCTTTTGCAAGTCATTGATAACCATGTAATCAAATATATCCCACCAGATGAGTTCAATCCACCAAGGAAACCATATTCATGCCCTAACCACAAAAAACAACTAGGATGCCTTTTAGTAGGCGCCGAGAGCGCTGATCCCCAATATTTTACAAAACAGTATTGTGGACTATTTTATAGAGAAGGAATGATGCCAAAAAAATACCTTGGCCGATTTATGGTTTCTCCAGAAGCAGCTTTGCAACCAGGTACACCGCTCTTGGCTTCACATTTTCGGCCTGGAGATTTTATTGATGTACGTGGAAAAACTATTGATCGAGGATTTCAAGGTGTAATGAAACGACATGGTTTTCATGGTATGCCAGCAACCCATGGTGTAACCAAATCACATCGCAGAGGAGGTAATGTTGGCCATGGCGGTGAAAAAGGTAGAATATTTCCAGGAACAAAAATGCCAGGACATATGGGTAACAGATACAGGTTACATAAAGGAGCTGAAATATTAAGAATCAACCATAAATACAATGTTATATGGATAAAAGGAATAGCATCACCAGGAGAAACAAATTCAATAGTTTATTTATATGATACTATACTGCCATTAAGAAAGCACAAGTCACCACCACCATTTCCAACATCAAAAGTTCTAGATAATGATCAGTTAATAGATTCATATAAAGAAGATGTATACAAATTCACTGATCAAACTATTACTTACGAAGAAGATAAATAAATTTGTATTAAAATGGCTAATATTTGTTTTATAATTTTTATAAATGCAAATTGTTTTTTACACATCAATAAACCATCTAAAAAGCCATAGTCTAAGAATATGAACTGTTATATTATTCTAGATTATAATATAATATTTAGAATTAACAAAAAAAAAGAGTTCTTATTTAATTTTATATTTATTTTATACCTCTATGATAAATACCGAGTGAGTTGTTATTAAACATAATACAGTTAAAAAACAAATTTTTTTTTTATTTTTTATTAAAATAGGTATATATATTTAATTGCCTTAAATTAATAGAGTATTACAATTATGCCAATACTAATATTATTAACATCATAGTAAGTAATAATAAATGCATGATCAAGTTCGATCATTCAAAAAAAAAAATTAGTAAAATTACAATAAAATAATATAATTAATGCAACTCCTTATAAAAATATATTTATAGGTACTTATGTGTTGTCTTGATTACCCAAATAAGTCTTCCGTCCACTACCTCCGCTTAAGAATCTATTTAAAATGTAAATGAGATAACACATAAGTACCTATTTATATAAATTAAGCCATAAAAAAATTTAAGGCCTAAAATATAATTTTCCAGAGTCAGTTTAGGTTGTTCAACCTAGATTTTAACTCTTTGAGCAATGGTTGAGTGTCTGTAATATTGTGAAGAGATGACACACCAGTAATTACGGAGTATATACTTTCTAACACTATTTTATAGTGTTCCTTTGTTTTGGTTGTATAATTTAACTAGAAAAATAATTACAATTAATAGATAATATGTAAATTAATTATTAATTATTGGTATTTACAGGCAATATATATGTACGATCCGTTAAATTTTCTGTTGAGGTTGAGGACTCTAATTTAATTATCTTAGCCGGTGGATGTTCACTATCACTATGATGATGATGATTATTATTATGGTTAATTTCTTGGGATATGCACTTCTTGTTTCGTCGAAAAACTGTGTTCTTTTGTAAATGAGTGTCCTTTTCTTCACGATCCATGTCTCTTTTAGGACAAGAACAAATTTTTACTGGAAGTACACGACGGCCAAGCACTTGTCCACTGTAGTGAAAGAAATTTTTTTAATCATTTTGAGATTTTCTATTATTTGTTATAATTTATAAAGATATTAAGTACATACTTGTAATCCTCTAATGTGAATATTACAATTATAGGACGACGTTGCATTCCACTAGTACAAGAAGTCTTGCATACAAATCTATAGGATAATCTGGTACTATCTGACCCATGTTCAGGTCTAGATAAAAGTGTAACTACACTTTTACGCCTACTAACTTGATCTATGTGATAGGTCGTACTTTCATTGTCACAACGTATAACATGTTCTAAATGTGTAAAACCTACAAAAATAAAAATCAACTAATTATAAATTGTTTAGTATACAGGTGATTCTTTTATTAAACAACACTCATTATTTAAAAAAGTATTGACTTTCAAATTTTTTTTTTTTTCAAAATTGTAGATTTACACTTTTCTTGAATTATTTTTTTTTTTTATATTTTTCACCCTTATATTTATAAGATAAAACACTATCAACTTTTGATTTTCAAATGGTAACCTATACTTAAAATTTCATAATGTAATAGCTATTTTTTTTATTAATTATAACGTTAAAATTTCGAATTTAGCGCAAGTAGTCTAAGAGTTATAGGTATTTAAAGTTTAGATTGGCAGAGTGGAGTAGTACGGGGTTACCCCGCAAAATGTTTGTCCACTACTCCGCTTGCCTAAACTTTAAATACTTATAACTCATAAACTACTTGTCCTAAATTCGATTTTTATGTATCAAAATTTTTAGAAAAATATTCTGCTTTGAAATATGAAATTAAAAAACTATGTTGCCATTCAAAAAAGTAAAAAACTTAAAAATGATAAGGATAAAAAATATTTAAAAATGTAATTTTTTAATAAAAGCGTTGGTTTTTTAACAACTTGAAACTATGTAAAAAAATATTTTGATAAAAGTTAATATTTTTTAAAATAATGAGTGCTGTTTGATAAAAGAATCACTGTATTATTAAGAATTCAAAAATAAAATAAAATTTACAGTGATTTATAAAGCAAACTCAAAACTATATTTTTCTTTACAAAGTATATTATTTTATTTTATTTTTAATTTTTGAATTATATCAAAACACACACCATATTTTCAAATTTCTGAAAATTTTTTGTATTACTTTAARGAGTATCCTGTGGCAAATACAAATTTCTATTTTTTTTAAATAATAAGAGAATCTCTTTTTTTATTGAATATTATTCAGTGGAAGATTCTCTTGAAAATAAGGCGTATCTAAATCAAAATTCTAATGAAAAGCTTCTGAATTACCYATTAAAATGTTTATACTATGAATAATAATCCTTAAAAAAGGTCTTTTTTTTTAAATATAAGCTAAATATAAAATTAAATATAGTATTAATATATTTGGACTATTTTTACAAATTTTTTTCCAGCTTTTTGTTTTAAATCTAGCTCAATTTTTACAAATTATTTATATTAATAGAGCAGTAGTTATTACTAATAACATTTTTAAATTGTCTTAGCCTCCATTTGCTAACCCATAAACCAAAGATATATTATCATTTCTTAGAATTTTCTTAGAAAAAATAATTGCTTAAATTTTGATTTATATATGTCAACATTAAAAAAAAAAAATGTTCACTGAACAATTTAAAGTGAAAAGAAAGGTTCCTATTTAAAATATGTAATGTGTATAGTCAATAAATCATCACAAGTGGTATACAAATTTTAAGTATTCAAAATTATGGTCTTCAAGTGTTTAAAAATTCCATAAATAATTTGAATATATGCATAATATAAGCAATAAGTGGATGAGTATGTCGACAAAATCACTCTGTATAATATATATATATATATATATATATTATATACATATAGTAACTCAAGAGGAATAGAAAAAAAATGTTAGATAATAATAGATATATTTTTACGTATAACAAATGAAATTCACCATAAAGCAGGTTTTGAATATTCCATTATTGGACATTTAATTTGTTTTTGTATCATTTATTAATTTACTATAAAATAATTAAAGAAGAAATTGAGACTTTTCAATCACTTGACTATAAAACAACATAAATCTACTTGAAACTATTAATCATTGTATTTTGTATTATTTACCTTTGTTAAACTGATCTATAGGTGATAAATGTTGTAAACAACGATCAACAGGTTCTTTTAACCAATCTGCTGAACTATACATAGGCATAGCACGTATAAATAATAACATATTATTGGCAATCTTGTCAAAATCACATTTAAAATTTAACAGAAGCACTTTATTTATGTCAATAAAAAGTTTTTGCAGGGTAACTGAATACTAGAGGAGATAAAATTAGAATTGTTAATAATTAACATAAAATATTGATAATTGATAATTTGACTTATTAACATTATACAAACATTCCATTTTTGACGGTATGATTGGGAACTGGAATCCAACAACACTTCAAAATTAGCACTACCACCAAATTCATCCTGGCAGGGTATAATACCAGTTGGAGATGATTTTACAGAGCCAGCTGTACATGTTTCACGATTTTCTTGGTCATCTTCAGGCTAAAATATAAATAACATAGTATAAAACAATTTAAAATATATTTTAGATTTTTAAGAAATTAAATTGTACAAAGTGGTGTAAAAACTAAAAATGCTCTAACCTTCCACTTTGAGTGGTTTCTGCAAAAAATTAGTCCAGTTTGACAAAAGTAAAAAATATTAGAAAAAAAATAATTTTCATGAGAAATCAGACTATAACAAAATGGATTTTGTTTTATTGTTATAATTCAAAAATTAATAACAGTTATTTCATGTATTTAGTCATTCACAYATTTTTGTTAAATATCTTATAAATTTCAAATTATTCTATTTTTTTATTTTTWTTTTTTATGRGTATGTTAAGTAAAATATATATAATATAATTTTCAGGCCTGTAGACAGACCAAATTTTAGGGAGGCATTATATATAAAAATAATATTAATTTCTAGTATATCTAATATTTTTAGGGAGGGCAATCTAACCTCATAAGATTATTTTACTAGAATCGATTATAGCATGCATTGATTTTTCATTGAATTCAAATCTAACATATCCAATATTGACCTGGTAAATGAAGAGATTCAACTTGACACAAACAATACAGTAGAGAAACTTTTCCATATTTTTAATTTTACCTACCCATTAAAAGTACACTTTAAAATTATTTTTACCTCGTAACGACGTAACATAATACATAATATACATTTTAGTAAATACTTTTGGATAAAATAGTCGAAGTTATATGTCCTTGATCAACATTACAAAAAGATTATTACAACATTATTAAGTTGTATACACAGATAATATTAATTTAAATAATAACTAATGGTTGTAGACATCTTAACTAAAATAAAAGTTACCGTTTGTGGAAGATTTAAATCCACAACCCTTCCATTTTCCATTGGCATTGAAAAATAGTACTCATTGAGATCATTCGGATTCATTAAAGCTCCATCAAACTGTTGTTGTAACAGTGGTATTAAGCTGTCATTACACCTAATAAAAATGAAATCACGTGTATTAAAATGTATACAAACCTTAATTATAACTTTTATAGGTTATTTATTTAATGGTTTCACATAAAATAAATTATATTTAAGATACAGTAGAAATCACTATAACGAGCATCACTTAGATCGAGATACTGCTTACAACGAGCAAAACGTTAGGTCCAGGCACAAGCTCATATRATTGTATGTTAAAATATACGTCTACAACGAGTATGGTTATTACGAGTTATTGGCTATAACGAGTAAAATAAAATAAACTTGACTAACGATCTTTCGGTTATTACGAACAGTTACCTGCAAGATAAGAACTTTTGGCTATTATTCAGGTAAAATTTATTATTTAGGTCTAACACTAGAAAGATTTTGTTACACAAAATATGAAGGTACAGATGCTGAAAGAAAAGCTTTGTCTTTATCAGAAACATTGATCAACAGTAAATACATGAAGCAAAGTTCGATCAAAGATTATTTTAAGAAATTAAATTCAAGTGTTTTATTATTATGTTTAAGTAATGTTTATAGATAAATAAATAAATAAATCTCCAATTATAATAATTAATAATAAATGTATGTATAAATAATGTATGTGCATACATGTATAAATTCAGTATTAATTTCGATTATAAGTCAAATAAAAAAAGTYGTCGGTTTTATTTTTGTATTTCCCGTTATTAATCGGTTACAATGAATGCTCGTTCTAACCGCATATAACAAGTTATCGGTTATAACGAGAAAAACTACCTGGCCCTTGGAACTCGTTATAACCGATTTCTACTGTATTTTCATGATGAGAAATTAATCATTGAATAATTTGCAAATAATAAATAATATGTAACATAAGTTGATATAAAAATGGAAACATATAAATAGTATTATCTTTTTTAAAATTACTGTTTGAGCTTATAAAATAAAAAAATTATATACGACACAAAATTCACCTTAAATCAGGAAAGCAAATAACAAGCAAAGCGTGCAAAGTGCATAACATTCAAAAACTATGCTTATACTTACGTATTGAAATTAAATATTTCTTCATTAGAATTCGGCATTTCTGACAGGCCAAGAAATTTTGTATCATCCATCTAGTACAAAAAAATATGTCTACAAAAATTGCTAACCAACTTAATTTTTCAATATTCAAAGAATAATAGACAAAATAGGTAATTAAAAATATAATTAATAAAAAATTAATATACCGTGTGTTCACCAATTTAGGGAACATTGAATTTCTTGGCTGGATTATGTTGGAATAAATTGAATTTTTTTCACAAGCTAGTCGTGTATAAATATACACTTTCAGTGAAATTTCCAATTTTTAACCCTCTCGGATGGGGTAACCATGGCTCTAAAATCAAAATTGACTGAATGAGAGCCATTCAAATTTTAATAAATAATACAATTTTACAAATCATTATAAAATGCATAAAACCATTTATAATTAATTATTATTGGTTACTTTTTGAATATTTTTACGTATACAGTTGTAATATATTTTAACTAAATAATTTTATATCCATATTATGTTGATCTTATTTATAGCACGCATAAAAAAAAAAATAGGTAAAAATATTCAAAAATTAACCAATAATAAATAATTATAAATGGTATTATGCATTTTATGAATTGTAAAAATGTATAATTTATTAAAATTTGAATGACTTTCATTCAGTAAATTTTGGTTTTAGAGCCATGGTTAATTGGTAAAAATGACTTAAAAAAATTCAGTCTATCTGAATTTGGTATCAAAAATACAGGTTGCTATTAAAAAAAAATAAGTTGCATTGCGCATGCACGTACTGAGAGGGTTAAAAATTGGAAATTTCACGGCAAAAGTGTATTACACCACTAGCTTGTGAAAAAAATTCAATTTATTCCAACATAATCCGGCCGAGAAATTCAATGTTCCCTAAATTGGTGAACACACGGAATAAGTTAAATAATAAAAATTAGTATATAAATTAATATATAATTAGGGTTTGCTCATGAATACACTTACAAATGAACAGGATAAAAAAATACAAAAATTATATATTAAAACTAACAAAACATATAGGTAGTAAACTAGTGAATAATTTATTACTAAACTAAATCCTAATACATTAAATTAGTATTATCTTTTATTAAAAAATTAATTAATTAATAACTTAAACTTGACCATGTAATAACTAGAGGGAAATAGATTGTTTAATGGATAATTCAAGCAATAATATTAATGACAATAAGTATTGCCCTGATGTTGAAAACTCTATAAAAATGCTTTTGACTTGGTTTATCGTTTATTTCTTTCTATTAAAATTTAAATGTGATTCAAAAAACACTGACAAAACAAAAATCAAAAATACACACAATACACATAGATACTAAATTAGGTAATAAAATAACAAATGCAACTAAAACGGTTGCCATCATAACTGAATATTGCAGTTTATAGCATGATGTAAAAAGATAATAAATTTTAAAAGTATCAAATTTTAAATTTACAACAACCATTATAAGAATATTACCTCTAGTCGGTTGGTCTTTTGTTATGATATCTGTCATTATTGATTTATTACATAAATAAAAAATAATAAAGTAGTTCTTTTTCCAAGCTTCCTAATGAGATATTCTTATTTCAATAGAACTAAATAAGAAGCCATTCAGATAACTTATAAATTATTATTATTGTGAAACCTATAATAATACCTACATTAAAAAACATTAAGCAGAAAACTAGCWACTACTTTTATTATAGTTATTACAGATATATAAGTCAATATCTAATTATTAAATTGTATGTACTTTTTCCAGAGTACTGTCTGAAAATAAATTTTTATGGTGGTAGGAAAGGCCAAATTTTTTTTTGACACACAACATACTTATATTCATAACTTTCAAACGTAAGTCAAAACCATTTCTTAAATAATATCAGAGAAATCTGCACTACTGCATGTATCAGAGTGAAAAAACAAATACTGTAATGATATCTTCAATAAACAATGTTGCTATAATTTTTATCTGCATAGAAATAAATAAATAACTATTTACTAATCAACAATAAAATCATAATATTTTTAAGTTTATTGCATATACATTTTAATTATCTATTTTATAATTTATTTAAAGATTTTAATAATTGGTAGAGGAATTACAATAAAAGTTAACTAGATTAGATTATCTTTAGACTAATCTTTGTTACCTAAAGAAATAAATCAACAATTAACTACTAGAGTAGATACCTAATTACAAATATAAATAGTTAAAGGTGGAATATATTTTCAAAAAAAGATATAGTACCTATATGAACATTATAAACCAGAAGTATTCAAACCATGTGTAGTAACTCTAACTGTTAGAAACTAACACGCATCATGAGTATTTTTTGGATAGGTACTGTGGTACAGAATAGAAAACAAATTAATTTTAACGGTGATTAATATATCAATTTATTCAAAATGTATAAAATTTAATACGATATTTCTATGTATAACATAAATAATACTCGTATGGCACTATTGTCTGGATATACTAACCTAACCTACACCGGGGGCCTGTTTGGCAGAATTTCTAATGGGGCACCTGTAGGTTTCTGCCATGCCCCGGAGTGGAGATGGCGGCACTTGTTCTCTAGACACTGTGACTTGCCAGGAGAAAAATGCCGCCCGATGGTCGAGGATCGAACTCGGTCCGCCTAATCCACAGCCGATGCGTTAGACCGCTCGGCCACCTTGTCCCCCATGTATAACATAATATAGTTACTATTAAATTTGTTGTCTGATATAATATATAAATGATGTAATATTATATACCTTATCTATTATAAATAATTAAATACTAAAACATTATCTTTCTGTTTCCTTAATAATTCAAGAGTAATATGTATTACATGCATGTATTTGCTTCAAATTGGACCTATTATTATGTTGACATTGTGCACTCACGTAACAGTTAAAAAATCATGTAGATATAAGCATGTAAAAAAATTATGTCAGTGAGCAGAGTAGCAGACTTTCCCGGATGGTACTGTATTCAATATTATGTCATTGTCATACATTAGATCCTTAATTTTATAGGATTATTATTTCAACTAATAAATAACAGCGACCCAAACGCTTAACAATAACAATCGTAACAATTATACAAGATTTTTATATCATAACATCTTAGGTGTAAACGTAAAATATGCAATACAAGTATATTATTAGTAATTATTTAATTCAATTACTATTTTATTCCTATATTATTAATCTAACTATCCATCAGACGCAATAAATAAAACTACCTAATAACTAATAAGTAATAGTAGTACATCTTAAAAAAAAAAATAAAAAAAGTATATTAGGTGCTCTAGAATAATAATATAAAGTTAAGAGGACATCTCTCCCACATGTGTTCTTTCAGTATTACTTAGGTATACATAAAATAGCAAAATTATGTTCAACAGTTCTTGTTTAGCTTCTTTGTTTTAATATAATTAGTGTATACTAGCCTGATCAAATTTAAAGATAATAGCACTTTCTGTGGTTAGTAGTGTTTTATTCTTTCAATTTCTTAACTTTGGGCATACCTAATTATAGTCCATCATTAAATGAAACAAATAATTAAACAATTTAAAATAGTATAATTGGACTGACAATTTCAAATAAAGAAAATAATTATTTTAAGATACTATATACACTATAGGTACATTTATATAATTAAAATTATTTTATTCAATGAACTATTATATTTTACATTCATATTCATATTAAAATTATTTGTTTGGTACTATGTACTAAACTTGCCAATTCATCAAACATGAGACACATCTTTATACAAATTACTAATAGTGCTAGGTAGTTGACAAAACTAAAAATGTGCTGTATAGCTAAGAACTAATAGTGTATTTTTTTTAATAGTTAAAAAAGTTTATCAAAAGTGTAATAGAGGAAACACAATTGCGTAAATAAAAATAAAGACATTAGATAATATGTTATACTGCATAGAGAAAATGAAAACAAGCATAATTTCCTTACCATTAAATCTGTGAATGTATGTATTCAGGTTGAAATTTGAACAGAGCACCTTCAGTATAATACTATATGAAATATGAAGTCGAAACGACTTATACAATTAACTCAATGGTTCATTTCACTAAGACAAACTTATCACAGATACCAGCACTCAACCGAAAATCGCACCTGCAACCTGTTGGTTGGATTTGAATATTTGAATGATAGCGTACACAACACAATGCCACAATGTACACTGACTGACCAACTACACCGGCACACCGCAGTCTGCAGTGGCCAGACGCCAGTGCACTGTGACTGTGCAATCTGTGCATAGTGCCATAGTGGCACCTTGAGGATTGAAACATGGATGAACATATTGTGTAGAATAACAATAAATAATAATGATAATATTTATTATTTATTATTTTTTGTAGGTGTATAACCTGATAAAATATACCGCAAAGTAACCAACTGATATTGATTTCTTATACCAACTGATACCAAATTGTTTATACAAATTGAAAACATAATATTAAAATTTGAAGGTTATGTCCAATATATCAGAAATTTAGAATTGTTCGTTTATAAACGTTATTGAGTTATTCGATGTTTGGATGTCTTGATGATAATTTTGTTATTTGATAGTTATCTCTAATAAAGTATTAAATTAGTAATTATTAATTTAATTAATATAATAAAAAAGAATTGAATAAGAAATCCTGTAGACTTTTACTGTATAAATTGCGTTTTTAAATTCATAAAATGGATTCTGATCTTTACGATGAGTTTGGTAATTACATTGGACCGGAATTGGAATCTGACGAAGAAGAAGAAGAACAGCCACCGTCTCCTGAGCCAGAACCTCAGGACATTGATGTATGTAAATATATTTAATACTTACTTATGAGTTATAACTAATGTAATATTGTTTTTGTAGATGATTGAGGAGAGTGAAGACGGACCAGAAGAACCGGGTATGAGCGTTGTTTTACATGAAGATAAACGGTATTATCCAAGTGCTGTTGAAGTATATGGGCCTGATGTAGAGACATTAGTGCAAGAAGAAGATGAACTACCATTAACAGTGCCATTGGTTGCTCCTGTTAAACAACATAATTTCCAAATCAAAGAACAGCATTTACCAAACACAACATATAATATGGAGTAATTTTTGTTTGTATTTGTATCATATATAAATCAATTTAATTACATGCTATTTTGTAATTAGGTACTTGGCTGATTTAATGGACGTTGCAGGATTAGTGCGTAATGTTGCATTGGTTGGACATCTTCACCATGGCAAAACTAGTTTAGTAGATTGCTTAGTCCGTCAAACCCACCCAGACTTAGGACAGTTGAACTTAGATTCAGCAGATGCTGATTTAATGCGTTATACAGATACTTTAATGACTGAACGTCAAAGAGGTGTTAGCATTAAAGCCACTCCTGTGACATTAGTTTTACCTGATGTTAATTCTAAATCATATTTAATGAACATTTTTGATACACCTGGTAATATTGCTTTTAAATTTAAACATTAAATTTATTTATAAATCTAATGTTGGTGTTCACTAGGTCATGTTAACTTTTCTGATGAAGTAACTGCTGCCCTTAGAATTTGTGATGGGGCTGTAATATTTGTTGATGCTGCTGAAGGTGTAATGCTAAATACAGAACGTCTAATTAAACATGCTATACAAGTTTGTACAGAAATATGTGTTAATAACAATGTAAAAAATATGATCTTTTTTTTAAAAATATTTTAGGAAAAATTGGCAATTACTATTTGTGTAAATAAAATTGACAGACTTATGTTAGAGCTTAAACTTCCTCCTCAAGATGCATACTATAAAATCAAGCATATAATCGATGAAGTAAATTCTCTTTTAAGGTATAAACCAATATCAAGCTACTATCTACCTGATCTATAATTTACTCCATTCCACGGGAGAAAGAACTATATTTTGTGTCTATTACTGCATATCTCCTTCTACTTGTGCTTTTTCAGTTATGATCATAAAATATTTGACTGGTAATTTGCAACGTGTACGTTGTAGCTTGCCGCAAATAGAACAAATTTGTTCTCAGTGATATTGCTGACATCAGTTAGAAACATTAAATAAGGATTTTCTTTCGTGGAACAAACTGTAATATTATACAGGCTTTTATTGAATCATATTTTTTTTTAAACTCATGTACTCATACTATTTATTTATTTTACAGTTTACATTCACACAATGATCCATCTCGTATTGTTTCACCAATTATAGGAAATGTTTGTTTTGCATCAGCCCAATATGCTGTTTGTTTCACACTAAAGTCTTTTGCTAAACTTTATGCCAATCATTATCCTAATGTTAATGTTGACAGTTTTTCTAAAGTATTATGGGGCGATGTTTACTTTAATCCCAAAACCAGAAAATTCTCCAAAAAATCTCCACATAACAGCATTCAAAGAAGTTTTGTTGAGTTCATTTTAGAACCATTATATAAACTATTTGCTCAAGTAATTGGTGATGTAGACACTACTCTCCCTGATGTTTTGGATGAACTTGGAATTAAACTAACAAAACGTGAAATGAATATTAATATACGACCACTATTACGCCTTGTTTGTGGACGCTTCTTAAATGATCTCAGTGGTTTTGTGGATATGTGTGTTAATCATATACCTTCACCTGCAGAAAATGCTAAAAACAAAATAGATACAATTTATACAGGGCCTCAAGATACTGAACTAGCTAAGGATATGCTTGATTGTAACCCAGATGTAAGTTTTTGTTAAGGTATACTGTTATATTATGTTGTACATTTCATTATATATTTTTAGGGTCGTTTGATGGTGCACAGTACTAAAATGTATCCTACTGATGATTGTACTTTCTTCCAAGTATTAGCTCGAGTAATGAGCGGGACATTGCATGCTGGACAAGAAGTAAAAGTATTAGGTGAAAACTATTCATTGGTTGATGAAGAAGATTCTAGAGTAATGACAATTGGACGGTTGTGGGTACATGAAGCTAGGTATAAAGTTGAAGTGAATAGAGTACCAGCTGGTAATTGGGTGTTAATTGAAGGTATTGATCAACCAATTGTTAAAACTGCAACGATAACCGACTTAATAACAACTGATGATTTATACATATTCAGGCCATTAAAATTCAACACTCAATCTGTTATAAAAATTGCAGGTAAAACAAAAACTTAAATTAATATTTTGTAAGTATTATAAATAAATAAAAAAAACATTATAGTTGAACCTGTAAATCCTTCTGAATTACCCAAGATGTTGGATGGTTTGAGAAAGGTCAATAAGTCTTATCCTCTTCTTATTACTCGTGTTGAAGAATCTGGTGAACACGTGATACTTGGAACTGGTGAATTATACTTGGATTGTGTAATGCACGATCTAAGAAAAATGTATTCAGAAATTGGTAAGTATAACTGGCATTATTGAATACCTAAGTAGTTAGTACTATTTTTTTTTTTTTTGTCATTGAAGATATAAAAGTGGCAGATCCAGTTGTTGCTTTTTGTGAAACTGTTGTTGATACATCATCATTAAAATGTTTTGCTGAAACTCCAAACAAACGTAATAAGATAACGATGATTGCAGAACCATTAGAAAAAGGTCTTGCTGAAGATATTGAAAACCAAGTGGTGGACATTTCATGGGACAAGTAAATCTTAACAATTTAATAGTAGAATGAAAACTTGTTTTCAAAAATAATTTTATACATTATTTAATATTAAATATTTTACTATTTAAAGGAAAAAAATTGGTGAATTTTTTCAATCTAAATATGATTGGGATTTACTTGCAGCTCGTTCTATATGGGCATTTGGTCCAGATACTACTGGCCCTAATATTCTTGTTGATGATACTCTGCCATCTGAAGTGGACAAAAATATACTTAGGTCTATTAGGGATTCTATCGTTCAAGTAAGTTATTTACCCTTTAAAAAAATAAATAATTTTTTCCTTTTAGTACTTAATTTGTTAATTTGTTAAATATTTAAATATTGTTAGTTCTAGTAAATGGAGAAATCATTGTGACTGTGGTAGCTTTAACTTTTTTTCACTGCTCTCAAAATAGAAATTCATAAGTAGTTGAGTCAAATAATGGTAAAATAACCTTCAAATAATTTCAAATTAACTTTAAACTTATCGTAGAACACCAATCTAATAATATTTTTGTGAATCACATATTTAGATATATTTCTTACCCATTGTTTTCAGATTTTTTAGCCAAGTTTTTTTATGAAACAATTAAACATAACTTGTATTCCTTAAAATTGCCATACAGTTGTCACTTTTGTTCCAATGAGGTTCTCATAAAATTCAAGACATAAGGATTTGATATAAAAGATTAAAAAAATTAACTGATGATTTCTATTTCTGGATTAAAGATATTCATATTTTACTAGAACTGTTTAAAAATTAATATAATTTGGTTGGCTTTTTAGGGTTTTCAATGGGGTACTAGAGAGGGACCATTATGTGAAGAACCAATTCGTAATGTTAAATTTAAAATACTAGATGCAGTCATTGCTCCTGAACCATTACATAGAGGAGGAGGTTAGTACTATTATTTGAACTATATTATGTAGCCATTGATTTTATAATGTACTGATAAGCCACCATCACATAGAAGTATTTGGCGACTGAAATTATGCGGTCAGTTGCTTGGTTTGCTGTATCCATTACAAAACTCCTATGCTAAGACTTATCTGCATATAATTAATTCAATTTTTCAATCTAATATCTTATAGTATTCTTAAAAAATGTTAAATTATAGGTCAAATTATTCCTACTGCTCGTAGAGTAGCTTATTCAGCATTTCTTATGGCAACACCTCGTTTGATGGAACCATATTTGTATGTTGAAGTCCAAGCTCCGGCAGATTGTGTTTCTGCCGTTTATACTGTATTGGCTAAAAGAAGAGGGCATGTAACTCAAGATGCTCCTGTTCCAGGATCACCACTTTATACCATCAAAGCTTTTATTCCTGCTATTGATTCATTTGGTTTTGAAACTGATTTACGTACTCATACTCAAGGACAAGCATTTTGTTTGTCTGTATTCCATCATTGGCAGGTTAGTGAATTGTATTTTAAATTATTAACTTCAATAATATGTAAAAATACTCAACTCCTAACTTCCTTCATAATAAGTTATAGTCATGAACTATGTACTATTATTTCATATAATTTAAGTTTTAATGAGAAAGTAATTATGAAATAAAAATGTTTCTATGTGCAGATATTATAACTTTTAAGACATATTATCAATTTAATGGTTAATTAAAAATGTCACAAAATCTAAAATTAGAAGATATAAAAGGTTG